CAGTGTGGACCAACGTAGTGGGGGTACATTTTCCTATGAGACTGGGTTGGAAATGAGTAAGAAAGTAATTTAAAGAAATCTGCAGCAACTGTAAATGAATTAAGCCATTTTTGCCTCTCCCCCAACACACTCCCTCCCAAAACACACCCCTCTATTAATTGAACAAGATTTGGCACTCAGTCTGTCTGACTGCAGCCACTAAAAAGTTCCATTTGCTTCCTTGAGGGAAAACTGTGATTCAAAATCATTACGAGGAAAGTCAGGGCATGAACTGACAGACCTTTCATGATTAGGGACTATCACAGTCTGGCTCTGTTCAAGAGCTGCAGTCCCAAAGCAACAGAGGACTTGCAGGCACATAATCCCATGTCTTCTGATTGAGTTTAACTCTACGGGTGGCTCTTTTAAGTCCACTTAGGTATCGATTACTCAGATAAGTTTGAAATAAATCTCCTTTTTAATAAGGTGTATTATATATTTCCTCAACAATTGTTGCCTTACTTAAAAGCATTTAAGCAATTTTGACATCATACACACATTTTACTGTCGTATTCAATTCTGAAACACCTCAAGCTAGTATTATAACCCAGTGCAAATCCCATCAAGTGTGTGACTATGATCCTTTTAAGGTTGAATACTAAAGAGATGGGGGTATTCAAAGGGCGAAGGGTAAAACTAAGGGGTGGAGGAAAGGAGGGCAAAAAAAAATGTTAATGTGTGGAATTCCACATGGCTGCAGGATTTGGCTGAAAACAGAAAGCAGAGAAAGGCTGCTGTGGAGGCGTGAAATTGTGCTGCTGGGCACCAAATAGCTACAGGAGCATGGACCCCTTTGAGGGCCCGCTAATCAGCAGCACCCAGACATATGAGCAAACTTACAGCTGAGCTAAAGGATAAATGCTCCCACAGCAGCCACCAGCGGCCATTATTACCCAACAGATAACCTGCTCGGAACCATATATGACAGCTGGATGAGATGGAGCTGGGGAGACTTTCTAGATGACAGCACAGTCGCAGATCATATGTGCACGAAAAAGGAGTTCAAGGTTAAGAAGTGCAAGACTGTGAACTGCAGATGAAAGAAGGGGTCTGGGATGGCAGAGTGTGATTGATAAGGGGAGGCAAGTGGAAAACAGTGTTGGAAACAGCAGTGGCAGTGGACGCAGGTGGGAGGGTACAGAAACAAAAGAATCACAGTGGTGAAGCTGGAGGAAAATAAGGAGCAGTCAAAAGACCAATAAAGAGAGCTGAGCCAAGCAAGTATATGAAACTGAAAGAAAATTCACAGGAGTTATAGTCAAGATATCAGTACCTCCATAATGGGGTGGCGGGCCACAGAGGAGAACCACAGCTTGACCCTCTCTGACTGTCACTGTGTTTCGTGGCTTTTGGCTGAAGTTCTGTAGATCTGTTGGATATAAAGAAACAACGACCCATCATGGTGTCTGTTTAAATACCTCCATCTTCCTTAAAATAAACCCCAGTATTCTACAATGCCCCACAGAGAAACTCTACTTAATGTATCTAAAATATATCTTTTTAACAGAACAACATAGAGTAGGGTAAACAGGAATGAAAATAAAACACGGTATTTGAAATACATTTTGCATACAAATAATGAAAGCATTCTCTGTATTTGTTTGAACCCCATTTACACTGTTTAGATTTTAACCTTTGAGATCTTTTGCAGTTTTAAAATCACAAATTAAACTTTTAGAAAGCATAAACATTTTTCCAAGGTGCTATGGATTCTCACCAACATGAAAACACTATGCTCCCCTGTTAGTTTCCCCTGCAACTTAAAGAGATTGAACCAGAGAGGCAGCAGCTCAACTTTCACCTTTGATTAAACGCTGCTGTCTGCATGGCAGAATAAATAGCAAGGAGACATATCAATCCTAAAGTCCTTGAAATACCATCTGGTCTCTAGAGAGGTCACGCAAATATCAGCAAGGGTCAAATCAAAGCTCAGCTAATTAAGAATCTCAGCAAAGTCATATATACAGCCCTTCTAATTATTTCTGAAGTTATACCCAAACTGTGATGAAGCAAAACAATTAGTTTATTTTTCATTTAGGCCAAAGTCAGAAAATAAGAGTGTTTTCACACATGTTCAATGTGCACCACAGTGAGTCTCCGAATATCAAAATGATACAGAGCTTCATGTTTTGGTTAACAAAGGTTGATTCCACATCAGCTTATGTAACTTCTTTTGTCACAATCTTTCGTAATGTAGGATGAGGTACGCAGGTTATTAGCGGCTCACTTTTTTCTTCTTCATGGTTTGCATGTAGAACTATAGGCCAACAATGGTTGAAGGTAAAGCGCGGCTGTAGCTAGAAAATAATATGCTGATGCATTGGAGATGCAGAATGGGTGTGCAGGTCAAATGCTTCACAATACAATTTTCTGACCAGATTTCTATCAGACACTGTATTTCTTTCGAGGTCCAAGTCTGTGTGTCAAGTTTCCATTTTTTTCAGAGGCTTTTTTGTTGGACCTGAATGGAGACCACCTCTTGAGTCCACATTATTTTGATTTGCATTGTGCTTCCACACTGATCCAAACAAGACCAAATTTAGGTTGATCGAAATCTGCATGGGGAAAATACCCAAACTCCCTGTCTTCCAGAGTGGATTTCTTCAACAATCTTAATTTGATATTTAATTGTGAGTTCTTGCTCCTTCTACAATTGTAAGTGTAACATATTTAATTAAGAAGGGATGTAACTGGGTCGCTGCAGTCATGAAAGAAGAGAAAGTGGCCTATAAATAGAGGCTTGTAGTCCTTGAAACAGATGCCCTGGGTCAAGGACAGTCTCTGTCTTCTCTCCCATCTGCAGAATTGTCCACTGGAGGCTATTAGTGTCACAGAATTTATTAAAATTTTTTATGCGATTGAACTCTTTTTTTTTTTTTATCTAAACTGACTTATGATCAATGAATTTTGGGATAACTTGAAGACACATGATGTTAGAGGTTCCTTTATTATGGAGGATTTTTCCTGCTAAAAACCAAGAGCACACATTTTTGAGAGCAGAATTTCCTCTACTTTCGTTCAAAACTTGTATTGCTCACATTCAAAACTTCTGCTCCTTTCGAGCAAATAGGTGTTTCCGCTCTCAGATCTAATACTTCTTGCTCAGATTTTCTCCTCTCATTTACTTCCTTCTTGTGCGAAAACCAATCTCTGCTCGAGTCAAAATATACTTACAAAGTCGTCGGCTCTGCTCTCATACTGGACTCCGATGGTCCCCTAGCAGCATTTGCAGCCGAACACCAGTCTCAGAAAGGGTGCGCTGCTTTTCTTCGACTGAGTTTATAGGCAACTCAGCAGAATAAAACAAGCGCACCCTTTCTGAGGATGTCCTTCTATTGGCTGGATAGGTTGCTACAGTACGAGACAGTCTGAGAGAGTGTGAAAAATCCACAAGCAGATCCAACGGCTTTGTAAGCTTATCTCTGACTTGAGCAGAGATTGGTTTGTGTGCGAAGAAGAGGAAGTAAACGGGAGGATAAAACATCTGTGCAAGAAGCATTAGATCTGAGAGCACAAGCAAAGATTCTATGGAGAAGATGATATAATTTGAGAGAAAGGAGAAGTTTTGATATGAGCATTTCAAGTTTGGGATGCCAGTAGAGGAAATCCTGCTCTTAAATTTGAAAATGTGTGCTCTTGGTTTTTGGCAGGAAAAATCCTACATTTTTTTTTACAGCATATTAAGTTTATGTTAACACTGTTAATCCCCCGCCCTAATCAGTTGATCCCTTAAACAGCCTTGAAACTGGAGCTGTGCAAATTTTTCAATTTGCAATATTTCTATATTTTCTCTAGATTAACCATTCATGTTTGGCTTATATTTTCATTGCCTCTCTTGAGTGAAATTGGTTGTAGCAAGACTTTACTGTTGCCTAGAAAAGTACTTTTTTTCAAAATTGGATGTATTGATATGCACACTTGTTTCAACTCTCTACTTCCTTCTGTGTGGCAGCAGACCCAATTTAAATGTGTTACCCCACTTTAAGGGCCTGAGTGAGAAAGTCAGTAGGAGGCCGCTACAGATGTAGATATGGTATTCGTAAACATTTTTACCTACGTATTTCCAAATATACATAAATAGAGTACTGTAAAAAAATGTGAGCCCTGTGCCCTTCAGACTCTGTAATAGACTGCTTGTAGGCAGGAAAACGCACATGCCTCTGCCCTACCAAAAGACAGTCTCCAGGTGCAGAAAGTTTCCCAAAGGGCTGATCTGTCAAGCCAAACAAACCAATAATAAATAAAAAGCAGCATTGCTGTGCCTCTGGAACTCCCCTCTGCAACTGTAGGTGGATCAGACAATGTCTCATTAATAGTTTGTATAATATTGGGGGAAATGAACCTCATCTTTAACATGGGGAAAAGATTAAAGGAAGAAGTAGTGGGCTCAATTAGCAAAGACGCAAATAAAGAAATAAGTGTTCCCCTCACGCTCATAAAAATCATGGTGAGAGCCTTGATGGAGGTATTTCAAGTTTGTGTACAAAAAATATTACATTTTCTTAAATGTTTTCTGTTACAAGAAAACCACAAACTTTATCAATTTTATTGTTCTTTTGTATATCATGAAGGATGGAAAAGATATCTAAAATACTGAAGTCAAACAAAAAACATTTGTGTCGTAAAAACAAAAAATTGCCACTATCTTTTCCCTTTACAGTATCTTATATTTTCAATGTCAAACGTTATCTGATAGTGAGGCAAGATTAAGTATGAAGGATCACAAAAGTTATTATTGTCCTTCCTTCAAGAAACAATAAGCAGCAGTCCCAAATTTCCTGGCAGTCAAGATAGCAGTTTATTAGATTTTTCCTTTTAGATAGATGAAGAGCCAGACAAGAAGTTCGGGCTTCCGTTACAGATGAATACAGTTCAGGAACACACTAACACTTGGAAACGCCCCAAGAGTGTCTTGATCAAATTATAATTTTGTTTTACAGGAAACTGGAAAAAAATATTTTCTTTAAGGCAACACGTGACAACTGTGAGTAAATTCTCTGCTCTTAAAAGTCAGCTTTCTGCTGACTAGATTTTCCTTTACAGTCTCTTCTTGATGCACAGAGTACTTTTTTATAGCTATTATATCATGTTCAGGGTTGCCAAGGTGCCAGCTAGATCAATAATAAACTGATACCTGGAAGATGCCAGAATTTTTTCTTCCTCACTACTCCTTTCATTCATTTAGTACTGAAATAATTGTGCCTACATATGTATTGATGAGAAATGTAAATTACACATTGTTTAAAAAAGAAAGAAAGGAAGAAAAAACACCTCCTGAGAGACATTTAATTTTACATCATTTTCAGCTGCATGCCATTTTGGGGTATGACTTGGTCCATTCTTATGTTTGAATGTGTTCTGTTCTTAACCTCTCAACTGTGGCTCTGCCTGCATGTTTAGGGTTGGTGATGAGCTGGAAGATGAACTTTGCTCCCTGTGTAGGATTCTAGTCTAAACTCAATACGGTTCTATACCTGGACCATGCAGTATTATATGTATGTCCCTGTTGATATAATGAGATCCTAAAATCGCTGTCATTATGGGTATTTTTTATGGATGTACAGTTTTAATTTACTCTAACTATAGCATTGCGATACATCAATAAAGGCTAGATGAGTGGAGTGTGTGGCAAATAGTTTTTCTATTGATAGATTCTCTCACCCATGCAATTGAGCTTTGCAGCTCTTTAATGGTTCTCATGAAAGTCTTGACTGATTATTTGATGATGAACAGTTTAGAAGATGGGAAAAGCTTGTCACACTGTATCACAAGTAAAACCCAGCAAGAAACAGTTTAAACTTTTCCCCCAATCTGTCTGCATTTGATTCAAATCTTCATGATTTTTTCAAACATTTTTTACCAAACCCCTTAGGTTTAAAACTGAATTTAGAGTAAGGTTAAATTACACAAAACTGGATATGCATTGACAGTAAGGTAACCTCTGAGGAGTACATTTTACTTAGGCATGTCATAGTAAGGAGTCAAAAAACAAAATACAGTTTCTACTGTACATTTGAGTTAGAAATCATAGAAGCAAAAGACCTTACAGTTTTAAAATAATCCCTTACCGTACTGCAGTGATAGTGGCTTTAGTTAATGTAAGGGAGGACAAAATAGTTAAAGGGAAAACAAAATAGTTAAAATAAAGACATTTCTTTGTTCTACTATGATTTTTCCATATTTTTTCAAAGAAAAGTTTGGTATTATATTAGTCAAATTTTAAATATAGGTCATGTAAATCTAACTTTGCAAAATTTTGAGTTCTACACTTAATGTCACCATTTGACCGATACTCATAGTCAGGTTAGGTAGTAGAAAGTACACAATATTCAGTGATTCACCTCCCCACGGTGGCAGGCTACTTGTAGATACAGGTAGCACTGACAAAAAGAAGGCTGCTGTACACCATCAGTAGGAAAAGCAACTGAACTCTCTTGCCTAAGGACAGAAGGACAGACATAGAGAGCTGGTGTTTGACCCCTGTGATCCTTGGGTTGCGGGACAAACTCTTTCATCATAGAGCCCAACGACACTGTCTACACTGTTGTATCAGAAGATCAATTCTTACCAACTCATGTATAATGTTGTTAACCTTGCTATATTTAGGTTTTGCTAGGCTGTAAATGTTTTTAGATTTGAAACCAAGAAAAAAAAGAAAAAGAAAGAAAAACTACTCACATGCAAACTGGACTTTGGCCTCCCTGCTGACGATAGTTCCAAAAGCATTTGTAGCGATGCACTGATAGACTCCACCATGATTGATGAAATGAGGATTATGGATCACCAGGTTCCCTTCAACAAGGCTGTAGCTTGGATCTGAGTCTGTGTCTACATCCCTCCCATCCACTTTCCACCTGTGAAAACACACACACTGTGTGTAAAGCTTTTGAATTTCACAATAGATAACTAATAACCAGTCCAACTATTGATAAGGGATGAGGCCGGTTAGTGGTATGTAGCAACACCATAGTTTAGAAAGTTAAAGTTTCAAACTCTTAAAATGGTGTGTCATTTCATTACGGTTTAAAGTCTTTAAAGAGATGCCAGAGAAAGTGAATGAGTGAAGAGCTATTGATAAGATTAGGGGGCAGCTGTTCAATGGGCTGTAAGAGCAAGAAAACTTTCCTTGTTTAAAAAAAAGACACAAATGTAACTATTTTGGGAATATTTTGTGATTAGGAAAACTAATTGTGTGCACAGCCATTAGTATATCTAAGACACTGCATTTTAGGGACAAAAGATGTCGATCTCTGAGAAGCATCTCAATTAAGAAGCTGACTGCAGGGTATCTCTGAGCAGACAGCAAGACTAATTAACCTACTAACATTGGCTTCTTGTGTTGATCAATTAAGCTCATATTAGCAAAAAGTTATGAACCGCATTAAACTATAATTGCTGTAAAACTGCTATATGTATTATGCAGGTTGTTAATATATTTTTTGTGATTTATTGTATATGATTAGTTGTGTTTTAATAATTCAAACTCAGATCAGCTATTAATAAAACATCTGTGGGGTGACAAACTGAAAACAAACATTTATTTATACTTTAGACAGTCCTTAATTGTTTCACACCCTTGATCCTGTAAACATGCACTATTTAATACAGAAGCACTTGGATAGCAAAACAATAATTCAAAAATATAAAAAGGCCCAATACCGCTTCCTTTTCTAATGTTTAGATCTGGGTAGCACATCATCATTGTAAGATAGAGAATGAAATGTGTCAGAAGCCTACGTCTACATTTCACAACTACAGTTGAAATAAAACAGTATTAGAATTAATTGATGTCTTTTAGATAAAATGTTCTGTTAATAGTGTTTACAAGAAGCCCAGAAGTGTTGCAAAACACATAGGTATATCTCAAAAAATTATTAAGATGAAACAAAGTGTACATTGTATTGTCATTCATGTTAAGAGAGGGAAATGGAAATATTAAATAGACGTGCTATATTGATTGAGATATATCAAGCCAAGCTTTCAGATGATGAAAACTTTAAATACATTGTTTCAGAAAAGTAGAATATTTTGACAAATGTAAATACTGGACAAGAATAGTGTCACACCCTAATTAAGACCTGCAAAGTTTACCTGGGGCTCTAAATAGTCCCTCACTCTGAGTCAGTAGGTTAGAGTATCGTGGAGAGGACAGATTCTTTGTTTAGAGGAAAGAAACAGTGTGGTAGAAAAACATCTACCATCATTAGGAAATACCTCGACGTAGAGAGAATTATCAAGGAATATGAACTTCACAAGGATTGAAATGAGAGTCAAAGCACAAAGGCAATGTATGCTTTTTTATGTAGCATGATTCTGTAGCTAGACAATGCAGGGCACTGTACGTTATATGAAAACACATAGGGAAAAGTACATAGGACAATAAAAAAGAAGAAAAGGATTGGCACAATGAAAGAAAGCTAGAAAACCTAAACTAATAATGTTTAAATAGCGCAATCACAGTTCACTCTAAATAAATAGGATTTAAATCTAGATACGAATCGTTTAGGGTAAAGTATTAGTGCGTTTATGTCAACAATGGGTGGTGAGGTTGCTTGAGGACCCAGATGCAGAGTCAAGTGAAGCAGAGATGAGTTCTGAGAGGTTTAATT